ATAAATCGCATGTGATTGTCATGCGCATCTCGTCAGTAAAGCCGGTTCTGTGATTAATAGTAAATCTCCATCACGTGCTTTCAGATGGAGCGGCATTTAATACACAGAGTCGTAGATCACTGCAATATCGCGTTCATAATCGCAGATGAGTCGCATTCGATTATGAACATGATATTGTGTAGCTTGTCAGGGTAAGTGTTTTTTATTTATGCCATTAATGTTTTTGTTAATACAGCGTATAGCACTAGTGAATGAATGTAATCATTCATAGCACTATGAGTGTAACATGGCAAAGATGAATGCACTTTTGGAAGTTGAATGTAAGGGAAATGTCATTTTGGAATTTCTGTGGTTTAATGTGATATTGTTGTTCATGATGAAATTTTCTTTTATTGTTGTAATTAATTTATATTAACAAGATGACCCGTTGAATTCTTTTTGGAGCTATGACTGATTGAATGTATTTTTAGTCCAGTGCCTGCATATAAGATTAGTATTGACCAAGTTCAGAGGCTGTCATATGTGGATCAACTTACTATGTTGTTTATTTTCAACAGTTTCAATATGAAAAATAACTTTTGTATTGATTCAATGGATTTATTGCATTTTGAAAAAAAATAAAATTAAAATGTGTCATGGATTTATTGCATTTTGGGAGAAAAAAATAATAACATTTTATAATAAATCTTTCACAATCAAAATCTGGATTTGAATTTTTAATGTTATTATAACCTAAAGATGCTATGTGAAAGTTTGAAACAAAAAATTGTGGTTTTCATCTTGCCACTTTCTTGGTAAAGAAAACACATTTTTACTCAAATTAATCAAAATGGATATATTGCGTTTTGGAACCAAACTCTTCATATATATATGAAGAAAAAACATGTAACGTGTTTATATTCCAATTGTCTTGTTTACAAACTGTTCATCCATTACTCCCAGATCAGAAATCTTTAAGATGCAAGATTAGCACATAAATGTACATTCTTATCTGTCCATTTTTTTCTGCCCAATCACAGCATTAGCATCATCTCATCAGTATCACTTTGTGAATGAGTCTAAGACCTGGACTGAAGCTCAGAGATACTGCAGACAGAATTACACTGATCTGGCCACCATTGATAACATGGAGGAAATGAACAGGCTGATTAACACAGTTAATGAGAGTTACAATGATTCAGCCTGGATTGGACTGTATGATGATGTGAACAGCTGGAGATGGTCACTGGAAGACAATGATTTCTATCAGGAAGAAGAGAGGGATTTCAGGAACTGGTTTCATGAACCGGACAACGGTTGGGGGAATAATCTGTGTGTATACATGAATTATTATGGACACTGGTTTGATGTACCCTGTGACACGGATTTGAATGCATTTGTTTGCTATGATGGTAAGACATTTTAATTTAAATTCTAAATCTTGTTTTTATCAATCCCTCCCATCATTGACTATTATATCAGATTTGTTTGATTTGATGCTAAGACATCAGCTACATAAAACTCTCCTTTTTATATGTAATGTGTCCAAGCTTTTAAAATTCTTCAAAGCAAAAACTTACAGTCCTGACAGTGTTTGGACAATGTAAGAGACAATTGAAATGTGAGATGTCCATGCTTATGCTGTGTACACACGTAATGTATTGTATTGAACTACTACAAATCAAGAATTGCTGATCTAAGGAATTTTTTAGACTATATAATTGGTAGGATTTTTGCACCATAATAGGAGGAAACAAAGTCTATGACCTAGAATTCATCGGATACTGTTCTCTACTGAGCAGAAGCTGATGCTACACTGGTTCATATTACAAGTTATTTATGTTTTTTCTTAGGTAAAGAAAACTCCTCTCAGAAGTATGTTTGGATATATGAGCATAGGACCTGGACTGGAGCTCAGAGCTACTGCAGAGAGAAATACACAGACCTGGCCAGTGTGAGGAATGAGATAGAACATCAACAGATACTGAATGTCACATATGGAAATAACCATTATAATGATTATACATATGTTTTTTATAATGTATGGATTGGTCTGCACAGAAACAGAGTGTGGTCAGATCAGAGCAACTCTTCCTTCACATATTGGCTTCCGTGGACTCAAGGTGTTGCTGCACAACCAGATAATGGTATAAGTGTCCCAGGACAGCAGGGATCTCAACACTGCACAGCTGTGTCTTTACAATACGTTGGCCAGTGGACAGATGAGAGCTGCTTTGCCAGTTTGCCTTTCTTCTGTTACAGTGGTGAGCTAATATACCCTCTGTAATTAAATAAATAAATATAATGTTACACACAAAGCAAGCAAAGAGTAAAATAAATAATATATTTAATTTTAATTTAATTTAATATGGTCAATAACTTTTATGCTCTGTCTTCTGTTCACTTTCTGGTCGACATGATGATCATCAAACTGACCCACTATTTCAGATAAGTATGGTAGGTTTGTGTAGATATCGTGATCTTTTCTGTTGTGTTAATTCTAATTCCAAAATTCCAAGTACTGACCAGTTTTTTTTTGTTTATTTTTTTTTACTGATCAGTGATGGGACTGAGAGTGAGACTTACAAGTGTAGAATATTTATCACAGTCTCAGATTGAAGAGCTGGTGATTATACAGGTAAGGAAAATGTCATAATGTGAAACAATCATAAAAGTAAATAATGAATACCACTCAGAAATATCTCACAAACAGAAAAATCATGTTTCAGCTGCAGGAAGAATTTATCAGACTAGGACTTCCCAGCAACTTCACCATGCATTTGAGAAACTATCGTAAAACCAGTCCATAAGAAATGATGACAGCATTCCTGCAAACAAGGAAAATTGTTTTCATGTTTTATCAAACTATCACAGTACTGTACTTCACTGTTTGAGAGTTTTGCAATACTATAATAAATCTGATCTTCTGATCTGAATCTGATCATAAGTTATAGATTTTTAACAAATATATACAGATGTAGGATAGAAACGCTCCAATTTTATTCTTTTTTTTTTGGTTTTTTGGTGTATTGATTACCATTTGTATAACCACAGATTTATTACAATTACCATGGTTAAACTATGGTTAGTATAGCAAAACCATGGTTAATTTGTGGTTACCATGGTTTAATATAGTAACCATGTTTTTTTTTTTTGTGGTAAAATCATGGTTAATTTTCATGAGGGAAACCAGAAACAATCTAAGAAACATAGCCTTCTAGCTTCTGCATTATTCCTGACAACTTATAAAAACATTTTTTTCTGTTCCGTGAGAAGAGAGGCTGCTGTTAAACTTACATTCACAATCAATTACTTTTGAACAACAAAGTCTTTTGTGGGTCACTTTGTGTACGAACACTAACAGATGACAAATACACATCCCACAAACAATCTGTCTGCGTTGTTTTAGCTACAGGAATATATATCCAACATAATCATTATTTATATTGGAAATGTGAGCAGTGCCAAAGCTGAACTACTACAACACACACGTACACACTGGCAAACACATTCTTTAAAAATCTTTTGAATCTCTTCGATCCATTTTTTTCAATCAGTCAGGATAATACACTTAAAAAACAGTCTTAGTTTTTTGTGATCACCAGCTGTGATGATTGAACAAAGAAAAAAACGGTACAACAATATCAGTTTCCCCCTTTCCTCATCCTTTATCCACCGATCAGGCCTTTCTTTGTGCTATTGATCAACTTATTAAGTGTCAAATCAAATGCACTTTATCATGGCTGCCTGCTTGTTTTTCAGGCGTCATCTTGAGCAATGGAGGCACAATGCTGCCTTTATTTTACTTCAGCTGATTAATTTGACCAGCACTGCTTTTCTTTGCCACTTATCTGGTGACTAATTGAATTATTGTGGATGGGTGAGATTTTCAAGAAGACTTTCAAGCTATGATGACATGTATTCATACTCCGAATTCACAGTTTAAAAAACTGAGCATCTGAGGAAAAAAAAGGAAACAAGGAAACAAAAATGAAACAAATACACTGACAGAAAGACATACAGATAGCCTAGACAGATAGACAGATTTGGAGATACACCCACACACTCTCACGCAGATTATATATCACATCTGTTGCCATCAGTAAGGTATAATGAAGTACATGATGAGATGAAATACAGAAGAGAAACACGTGACAAGCCATTTGGTGACATTATTTAGACTGACAAAGAGTATTTGCACAACAGATTGGGCGACCCAAAGCAATGTCAAAACCTGACTGTGTCAGATGAGAAATTAAAAATGACAGACTCCAATATGTTGCACAGAAGGATGGCAACAAATACAAGGTTTTGAGAGAATACGACAGAGGCTCTGTAAAGGAACCATGGTGCCTCTGTGACAGCGTCTTAAAACTCAATACCACAACACAAAGACCAGGAGAAGCGTTGCATTGTTAAACCTCTAATCACATGGTAAAGGAGCCTTTTGTGCTGGTAAGATTCATAAAGCGCTGTCGAATTCAATTGTGGGGCAATATTTTTCTCAAATCTCAGAGGGCAAATCATACAATAATGTGGAAAAAACAAGCTATTTATAGAAACTGAAATAGTTTACACTAGTTTGAACCACATATGCATACAGTTCACATAAAAACAAAAAGTCTGCCGATGTAGAAAGTTGGCAGTCTGAGAACTTTAATAACATGCTGTATATAATGTTGGACAAATATAACAACATTGACAGTACTGACTGTTTTTTTGTGCTTTTGCAATGCCCTTCTGAAATACAAATGCATTTGGTCAATCAAATGGTTAATTACGTACCAATAATACTATAAAACATAAA